TGACTTCGACCGCCGCCGCCACCGCCACCGCCACCGCGACGCAGCGGGACACTTTCCGCTTCGGGGGCCCTATGACCCACAGCTACCGGACCACTGCCCGGAGCCGTGTTACCCAGAAAATAAGGGTAACAATGGAGGATGAGGATGACATTGTGGCCGCAGCCGACCGCATGGCAGGCCCGGCTGCTGCCGAGCTCTTGGCCTCCACGGTGTCCACAGGTAGCCGGTCGCGTTTGGCGGAGGAGGAGGATGGGTCTTTGGAAGAAGGAGTAGTAATTTACACCAGAAAGAATGACACTGGCTCGGAGACTTCCAGTACGATTCCCACCCGAGGGTTTGCAGCGAATGGCCATGATCCTGAAAACACTATGAGTTCCAGCCAGCCGCCCTCCACTGGGAAGACCGCTGCGGATCAGCCGTTCTCCGACGGCACCCGGAGCCAATGGTCAACAGCAAGGTCCTCCTCGAACCCGTGGCCACCGCCCTCGCCCACAGCCATGCCAGCTCCCGAGGATCTGCAGCTGGTGCTGGGGCCCTGGGGCCCGTGGCACTGCCACTGCAAGTCAGGCACCATGAGCCGGAGCCGGGGCGGGAAGCTGCACGGCCTTTCCGGGCGCCTCCGCGTTGGGGCCCTGAGCCAACTCCACACTGAGCACCGACCTTGCACCTACCACATATGCCCCTGCAACCGGCAACGGGAGGAGTGCCCCCTGGACGCAGGTCTCTGTCCTGACACCAGCTGCACCACTCAGACCACCACTAAGGCCACCACCACCACCACCACCACCCCCATTCCTCCCCTGGTCACCAGACTCAGACCCACCCCCTTCATCCCCAGCCCCAGCCCCAGGTACAGCTCAGCCCTTGCTTTTTGGAAACGGGTCAGGATTGGGCTGGAGGATATTTGGAACAGCCTCTCTTCAGTGTTCACAGAGATGCAACCAGTAAGTGTTTGGTGTTGAGCCAGGATCTTTGTTAATGGATCTGAAAAGTCCTGATACCCGAAACCCTGCTGCTAAGCCAGCCAGTGTGTCTGCATGAACTATTACTTACCTGTTTGGTTATTGATTCATAATATGCATTGGTTATTCACATCATTAGCCACTGATTCCACCTATCATTTTTTAAGCAACTGCTGTTAGCCTATTAGGCAACATGTATTGTTGGTCATCAGATGATTACTGACCAAATTGTTAAGACTGTGGGTATATAAAGAATTCTTGATGCACAGGTAAGTAATGGATATGGAAGATATTAATAGCTTGCAGTTTACTAATACAACTTAACAGTTACAGCCACCAATATCTGAGGTCTTAGCATGTGCACTTTACCTGGCTCAATTCTCACAACAACCCTATGGTAGAATTATTCCCACTTTAGAGATGAATGGGGTTTACAAAGCTAGTAAGTGACAGAGTCACAGCAAGATTTAAGCCAAGTCTGTTTTACAGTAGTCCCCATGCTCTTCACCACCGCCGTCCCTTAGAACTGTCCTTCTGGGGTTATTCCCAGAAACCTGAGAAGTCTCAAGGAATGATAGTCCTCTACTTTACCAAAAGAGCTAGCAAAGTTTCTAACTGACCTGATAAAATATCCTCAAGGTCTCAGGATGACAGGGCCCTGGGGAGAGGGGAAGGACAGTAATATGTCTACTTGGTCATTTCAGCAGTTTGTTTCTGTCCTCCTTGTGTGTCCGATACCATTATTCAATATAAAAAAGCAGCATAAATAGTGGGCAGTAGTGCTGAGGGAATGAGTGTTGAGTTTGTGGGGAGAAAGAAATGAAGAAGCAAGGAAGGGAAAAGAATATAGATGTGGTTATAATATTTTCCCTTTTCTCTATTTTGTTTCCTTACTCAGATAAACAGAAATCAGAGGTAATGGCCACTTCGTCCACAAGAGGAGGTGTCAGCATCTCTACCTCTCCTCCCCTTTCAATCCCAGCACCCACTGGATATTTTTAGTACAAAAAACAAAACTAGGAAAAACAAAACCAAAAACATTGTTTGTTCTTTTTGTGTCTTTTTACAGTGGTGTCTGAGAGAGAGAGACCATAAATCCCTGGACTCTTAGAAACTGAACTGTGTAGCTAGCAGCCTCTGGCTTGGCCCCTTCCCTGTCCCACAGGATAAAAATGTTGATGCTGCTCATCTTGCTCATTTCCAAAGTTGTCTTTAAACAAATACTTCTTTTAAAGACCCGAAAAATCCCAAATGAATGCCAAGAAAAGGGAACGGGAATGACGAGCTAAGCCCTTGGAAGACGATGGTGGGCTTCCTGCCTTCATAACACTTAGCCTTCTCTCCTCAGAAAGGGCAATGTCGGCACAAAATTCCCTGACAGCCACTTCCTGGGAGTTGCCTTCATTAACCACGTCTATCCTTTAACCCAACAACACACCTATAGTGATTACTCTGCAACTGTTTTGCTTAAACATTTTTTATTTGAAAATGTATTTAAAAGTCCAACAATTTTTAATATAAATTATGACTCTCAAACCCATTCCCATCACTCTAAATATTGTTAAAGTGATGGTAGCATACACATTAGAGAAGGCAGCTGAAGGTGAGAGAGCACCAAAGAAAAGAAGATTGTGTCCAAAGAGCAGGCATTAGAATAAGGCTCAAGATCAGGATGACCAGATTCCAGGAGGCCCCCACCTGTCTACCCTATCCTGTTAACCCCTTAGATCTAGTATAACCCTCAGGCTTTTGAGATAATTTAGGGCAACAAGGTGAGCTACTTTCAGAGCAATTAGCTAGACTGGAACTGAGTAAATTGGGAATGTATTTCTATGACCAAGCTTAGACACTAAAAACCTGCAGGAAATACACAGAGATTCCAAAAAATTAGAGCCTCAGTCACTACAGGAGGGAGTGAACTGGATGGATAGTGGAATCAGCAGAGTGGATCCTAATTCCCACATTCCTGACCCCCACTACCATCAGACAGGATGCTTCCTGTTACCAAGCTAATGAGACCACCTTCTCACGGAGCAGACAGAAGCTCATCTGCCCTGTTCTGCCCCTCAGTCACCCTGCAAGGAAGGGGTCAGACAAAAAACACCTGAGAAAACTGAAAGTGCCTAATGACCCTGCTCCTACATTATTCTCCCACTTAAAGCAGACTCTTTAGCCAGGTGGAGAGTGGGACCTGGTCTTCAGACAAAACTCCCTGAGTCTTACTTGTGTCTGGTTCTAGGACTACGGCACAGATACAGAGCTTAAAATTTGGGGAGGATAAGCTGGGGTATCTGCAACTCTACCGCTTTTCTCTCCTTCTGTTCCACAATCCCACGATATCCTGTTCAGGCCTCCACCCTGCAGGAACCCCTCCTCCAGAGAGCATTAAGAATGGAGCACAGTACATATCCATCGTAGAGACATGAACCCACGCAAGCACAGGCAGCACACGGAATAAAGAAGTTTGGAGATTATGTGCGGCCCCCTGAGCCTACTTTACAAGGAACCCTAGTTCATCCGTGGCTCAGGCTTAGGATGAGTAAGTGGAAATCACTCAAGAGAAACATACCTTGACTCTAGAGCAGTGGCTCTCCCCTAGGGGTGATTTTGCTGCCTTGGAGACATTTGGCCATGTCTGGGGACATTTTTGGTTGTTATAACTAGGGTGGGCCAGGGATGCTGCTTAACATCCTATAATGCACAGCATAGTCCCTCACTACCAAGAATTATCCAGCCCAAAATGTCAAAAGTGCCTAGGTTAAGCAACCTTACTCTAGAGGTCTTTCTGCTCCCATGCTGTAAGGATCTTAAGCTCACTCAATGATTGTTGTCAACCCGTTTATCTCACCAGCCCTCCCATCCTCAGTGATCAATAGTACACCCTGAGACATACCTCCTAGTTTGGCTGCGTTCTGGGTTTCTCTCCAGATCCCTCTTCCTGCTCTCACTTAGGCCAGCAAGGAGGTTGGCAGAGGGTAGGCCAGATCCTCAAAACTTACATGGAATGTCTTCAGGTTAAGATCCACCTCTTAGCTTAACTCTTATCCAGTGGGAAACAGTAAGGTTCCTAACAGGGACAGGATTAAGGAAGAGGTAGTAGCAGGATGGGGGTAATTAAGAGAAGTCAAATTAAAAAAAATATTTTTTTGTTAAAAAAAGGAAAGATCTTAGGGAGCTAGCTATGCTACAGAAACAGGGTTAGAGGCCTACCTAGAAAAAGACCCTGGTATTGGCAGAGAGCTGCTGAGGGACTGTAAGTCAGAGATCTAGAGAGAGAGAGTAGACTAGCCAGTGGTCACCCGCCCAGCCCCTGGCTGACGTCTGCTTCAGTTCATTCCAGGAGGAAAGGGCAGGGAGGGAGGGAGCTTCTCAGTAAAGCCGGCTTCAGCTTCCATAATCTCACTCACCCACCACATTTAAGGAGTTTCAGGTTAAGAGTTTAAAAACATATGGCACCTAGACCATCATTCAGGAGAAAGGAACCCATTCCAGATTCCCAGAAAACTCCTATCTCAGATCTGAGAGTGTCGAGGCCCCAGCTGAGCTCCTCTGGCCAACCAGTAGTCACCTGGTCAGTCCTGCTGCCTTGACCCCATCTCCAGGAGGGGCTATGGCCAGAGGGAGGGGAGGGAGTCCAGCCCCCACGCCTTGTGAGGCACTATTAGTCAGGGAAAAGAGGGGCCCTGGGGTCACTGATTCTAGAAGGGCATCTGGTGGGGGCAGCATCTCTTCTGGGCTGGACAGGGTGGAGGCTGGACACACAGTAGAACCTGATTTTAAAAAAAGAAAAACAAGAAAGATTAGCCTCGAAGAAAACCTCCAGCCTCAGGCAGAAGGCACCACCTGGTTTAGACTCTTAACTATTTCTACATTATGCTCTTTTTTTCTATTTCTATTTCTGCCTGCACATCCCTTTCTCTCTGCCCTTCTGGATCCTACATTCTTTTTTTTTTAATCAATTGACCAACAAGTTTTATTATACTGATGGGCTTACAAAATAGTTACATATGTTTAAAGATGTATTTTTATGATTAACAATTTGAAATACATGACACTTCCAATTAACTCTTCTCTGTAGGCAGACAATTTTTAATTAAGTAAACTGCTAAAAAGCCTAGTAAATTGGTAATAACTATTAAATTGAATATGTTTTCAATTTAGAATTTTACTTATAAATTTTATCTTAAATATGTTCAAGTTCAAAGATACTATCTTTTTCCCCCCTCAGTCAAAATTAACTTGACAGATTTATTTTAAGAAACTTGTCAACTAAGTTGTCCTTATAACTTTTTGTTTCACCAAATTTAGTTGCAGCAAAATCATAGACCTTCTCAATTTCATTCCATTTTATAGAACATAAATTCATCCAATAAAATATAGGGGCTCTATCAAGACAATCTTCTTTTGAGCTTAAATATCTGGGGTTCAATTATTTAATTCAAAATTAAATACTGGACGCATAGTTTATTTTGTTCAGTTCTTTTCTCACTGTTATATGGACCCTACATTCTTGCCTCTTCTATTCTAATTCTTTTTCCCTCTGTTTACTTCCCATTCTTGCAGGGGATCAGGGTTCTGAGGCAGGGAATCACAATGTGCTGGCAGGAGGCTAGAGGCGTAAGATGGGTTTCTCTAATCACTCACCATTCCTGCTGGAGCTACAAGCCCCTAGAATTGCTCCACGGCCTGTCTCGGTTTCCCTTGGATCTCATCTGCTCCTGAACGGCACCTGTCTGTGAAAAGGCACATGTGAGACCCTCTCCCAAGTCTCCATATGGCACAGTAAGAGACCTCCCCTGCGCCCTCCAGCAAAGATGAGACGTGACTCCAGCTCCTTGACCACAAAATCAATCTGAAAAGGTAAAAACTAACCTCCATTCCTCCAAGGGAAGTCTCAGTGCCTCCCTTCACACTGACCCTCATGAGGATGAGATAAAAAGGGTCTTTTACTAATAAGATCGCCTCACAAAGGACTCTCTCATATTTATCTGAGTTTCATAATTGGTGAAAAGACTCCTTCACTAGCTCCGAGCCCATTTCCCTTGTTTTGAGGGCAGAAATGCATACGAGACATCAAAGGACAGAGGTGCTCAGACCTTTTCCTGTCCCAACACTCCCGAACACAATACAATTTACTGTGGTGCTGAGATAGCAGTTTTTAATTAATAGGAAGGTTAGGGTTTTTGGAAAAAGCCCCCCAAGTAAATCTTAAGACCGTGTATCTCCCATCCCAGTGAAGAGCAATCTGCTAAGCGTAAAGACAGAGGAGCCTAGATCAGAGACCTGAAATGCCAGGCCTCAGATTTATGCAGCCTGCGACCGCGACTAGAATCCTAGCTTCTTGCTTCCCATAGAGTATTTTGCTATGCCTCCAGCTTGAACTTTCAAAAAGGGGCATAGTTCAAGGCCACAATCCCATATCAACCTCTCCCCATTCCCTTGTTACCATGGCAAGTCCATCTCCGGCCCCCATCTCCCCAGAGCCAATGTGAGTCAGGTGGACAAAATTCATTGGTTCCCCAATCATGGTCCGGTCAATCCGTCTCCTCTTCTTCTTCTGCTTGGAGAAGATAGGGGAGTTATGTCTGAAATCCCTTCCTCCAGTCACAGGGAAAAGAGTCTTGAAAACCACTAAGGGAAGAGCTAAGGGCCTGGTGGGAAAGGGGACAGGGCACTGTAATAGGGAAATCACTAGGGTATGAAGGACAAAGCGGAACAACATAAACGCAGAAAGGGCAGGGCGGTAAGGGCAGTGGCCTGTACAGGGAAGACTGGACCAAGAAAGGACATGTCAAAGTCACCTCTGGCTGATGAGGAAACAATGGGAAAAACTGGCAGGCATTAAGCTCTACCTACAACTCCTGCCCAACTCAGAATGGACAAGAACAGGAGGTGACAGCTAGGACCATTTACTTCTTCCATCACCCAGGCCCCTTTATCCTACGTACACATCTGCCTGGCCACAGAAGCCATCCTGACAGACAGGGAGGCAAGGAATGTGCTTCATGGACGGCAGATCCTAGACGGCATGTCTGCTTCACAGTGTCTGGTACCTGGTTTCTGTGTGTTTGGGGTGGGGTTGGGGACACTTACCGGCTGGGGTTTCTCTACCACACAGCAGCCCAGTTTGTGCCAAAATTCACTCATGTTCCCTGATGGTTCCAGTTTCACTCCTCTGCCTGAGGCCCTGGAGGGCTCCTGCTCTGGTGCCGTGACCGCCCACTCCTCACTCCCCTCAGCTCTAACAACACCCTGGGTTGCCTCAGCTGGACAGGTCTGGAGAAAGTAGTCCTTGGAGCCCTGAGCTGAGCAGTGAAGGTCAGCGTCTCAGATCCTGAGAGTAGGGTGGGCAGGCAGGCACAAGGTTATGTCTTCCACAGACTTGGAACCCTGGATGAGCAGAAAGTAAAGAGAGAAGAAAGGTTAGTAAGAACTCCCTGCCCATCTCCTGAGAAGCCTCCTGATGAGCCCACACCTTCCTGCTCTCCCTTAAAAGCCCTAGTCCTACACCCAGCACTAACCTGCTCTGAACATAAGCACCTCAAAGCCTGACTCTCAGACAAAGGAAGAGAACCAGAAGGTCACCAAGGGGTTAAGAAGCAGCAGCTGCTGGTACCAACTGGAGCTGAGCAGGGCTGGGGCTGGAGCGAGGATGGGAAGGGACCAGAGGACACCGGCAGAAATGAGCAAAGTGTCGGGGTGCTACCAGCTCCACCTCCCTTCTCCCTGGGTTCAGGGCAGAAGGGGAGGGACATTTAAATGACTCTGAAGAGGAAATGGTGGTTTTTCGGTCTCACAAACAAGAACTCCACCCCGACCCTCCCTTTTTCCTTACTTTACCCTGAACACCTAGATTTTTTTTAAGACCAAGAGAAGCCTTGACTACCTAGGTTCTAGGTGACTGACTGCAGCAGGTCGGAACTCAAGACTCTGCAGTGAGGAATGCTTCCCTCTCTCTTCCCTGCCCTTGTTCCTCCTCATTTCCCTCAACCAAGATCCAACTCCTCCCAGAAGCCATTTAACAGTTCCTTTATTATTTAACCTTGAGATTCCTCCTGAGGGCTGTATACACTGTTTATCTGTGTTCTGTATCAATGCACTCTTGTGTGTGCACCTGTCTGCACATACGTGGCACAGCCACATCCCTGCGTGTGCGTCCTGCATAGATCATCTGTGAGCAGGCTGTAGGTACATGTGCCAGTATCTTCTGTCCCATGAGGAATCTTTTTCCAGCCTCCCCACCCTCTTCACATGTCCTATCGTGCCGCTCTGCTCTGCCTCACACCCCACAGGGCCTGGTCCTCCCTCTCTTCCTCCGCCCCTCATGCTGTAACCTGTCGTCTCTTCCCTCACCATGTCCAACCCCAAGCTTCAGCAGCCAACCAGACACGAGGAATTTTCCAATAGCATTAGTGTCCAAAGAAGAACTTCCTCGCCTTTTCATTACTGCCAGCCAGCACAGGGCACAGATGGGTTTCCTCAGTTGTCACCGCACTCCCCCAGTCCCATAAAATAGGCAACCTCAAAGATTCCAAACAGGGCAGTTTCACGAACATTACACTTTAGCCTGAACAGTAATCTCCCCTCCCTCCAGGACTGGAATCCTGATGCTCTGACACCCCACACTGATCTAAGAACTGAGAAGGCTTTTTAAAATCAGCCTTGAGATGAGATCACACAAACACTGAGATACAGTGGGGGAAAGACGCAGGAGCCTGGGCTTTCTCTTACTTCCCTTCCCACCACTGGAGGGGAGGAGTAATGAGACAGAGCGGAAGTCAGAACACAGCTGTCCAGAGAGGGGAGTTGTGGTCAGTGGGGAAGTCAGTCGGTCACAGGGTTTGTCGTGCTGGTGGTGATACTGGGTGGTAAGGGTTAGTGGGGTGGGAAGGTTGAAGAAAACAATGAAGAATCAGAGGAAACCCCCCAACACTACCAGACAGGCTGTTCTGAGACTGGATTCTCCCTCAACACCCCCCTTGCTCAAAGCTGAGTGGACAGAAGCGGATGGTGGGAGGGGAGAGAAGAGAGCGAGAAGGGAGAGAGGGAAAGGGGCAGTGGAGGGAACAAGGACGTTTCTGTTCCTTTTCCAGGGACCTGGCCAGAGCTGGGTGGAGGGAAAGTGTGTGGGGGGGAGACTTGGCATGAAATGACCAATGATGATGAGAAGTGACCAGGAAATTCCATTCCCCAGGACACAGGACATAAGGGTCTCTGAAACTTGGGGGTGGGGTCAGCATGAGGAGAAGACTGGGCAGGGTGAAGGTGGTGGTGGTGAGGGAGGAGGGGAACAAGGCCCGGAAAGGAAGTAAGGGTGATTGGCTGCCACTCTCCTTTAAAATATCTAGAGAAGAGTGGGTTGAGGAAAAACGAAGTCCTGAACCCACTACCCACCCCTCAGCGAAGGGAAAGGGGCCGGGTAAACAGCAGGAGGGACCAGGATTAGACTGTGTAAGGCCATATCCTGACAGCCAAGCAGTGCTGAGAACTGGGCCCGAGTCCCAAAAAGGAAGGGTGAAATACAGAGCTGGGAGAGACACCAAGGTCATAATGGGGCTTAAGAGCTTTAAAACTACTGGGGAGTGAGCAGGAGAACGGACGGGAGAAAGGTTCCAGGGAGGAAGGATGTACAGAGGCAGTTCCCTGGTCCTGTTCGAGCCCCAAACCGGTTCTCCCGGTCCCGCTGCCTCCAGCCCCAAGGCCTCCAACCCGCTGCCTGACAAGCCTTCACAAGAAGCAGCTGGAGAGAAAGAGAATTGAGAGAATGGAGTGGGCAATCCTGGCTATGCGCCCAGGACTGCAGCTGGTCCCCGGTGGAGACCTCCAGACGTGGAGGGCTGCTGCGGAGCTCTAGAGAAGTGGGGCTGGACCCCACGTTTCAGTCAAGTGACAGGCATTTGCCCCAGGACCAACGTGCCCTTCCCCAGGAAAGGTCTTGTAGAGGCTTAAGAGGAAACAGAGCTAGGCCTAACCTCTCCCTCCCCAGTATATTCAGTCACATAGACTCCATTTCTGCCCACCCCCCAAATCTACCCAGAAACTCTCTGCCCTTCCCAAGGTTGAACTGGGACTGAGACTTCTCTGTAAACCTTTCGGACTTCGTCACTGTCTTCCGTGGCTGCCTGGCTCTGATTTAGACCTTCCCGGACCAGCTCTGCTTCAGTTTGTTGGCACACGCCCCACCGAGGTCGGTGAGTCTCAAAAGGGACCTTCTCCCCCTCCCAGCTTCCCCCAACACTCCAGACCCTCTTTCCCTTCTACTCTTCGGCGGCCTCACCCTCGCACGCCCGGGAGCGGAGGGGCATGATTACTCACGGAGCGCACCCCTTTGCCACCGGCCCAGCATCTCGACAGCCCTGGACACCCTCCCTCCCCACCCCCAGCATCCGGTGCGTCTCCGCCTGGCTGGGCAGGCGGGGCGCACGGGCCGAGGGACCGACTCCAAGGCGTCACCTGCTCTGCTCCGACATCGAGGCGTCCGGTGGCAGCTGGTGTGGGGGGCTCCTGCCCGGCGCCCGCCAGAGTGGGGCTCCTGGGCTCGCTCCTCGGCGCGGTGGGGGAGCCGAGGGCGCGCCGGCAGAGGTGGGGCTGGCCGAGGGCGGAAACGGCCGCGACGCGCTTACAAAGCCGTCCGGCTGGGAGCCCTGCGCACCGCTCGCCTGCGGCCGGAGGTGGCGCTGCGCGCCGGAGGGACGTGGGAGGGGCCTCGCGAGCCCCCGAGGCCGCAGCCCCTGCTGGGAGGACCCGGGAGAGTGGGTCCCCGTGGAGGGCCAGGCACCCTAGCTAGCCGCCCCCCACCCCGAATCGCGCGCTCCCCTGGCGCGCCAGGCGTTGCGGGGCAAAGGAAGCGGAGCCCCCAAGCCCCCGGCCCCAACCAAGTTCAAAGATTCGGAGAAGCACACACAGCCCCCAGTCTTCTTGTGCTCTACCCCAAATGGAAAAGGACTAGGTTTACCCATTGCGAGGGTAGGGAGGTGAACTGGGAGGAGTAAGGATTGAACGGAGGGATGGAGAATTTTTCTGATTCTCAAAACCACTTCGTAACCTGAAATTCTTAAATTGGAGAACAAAGGAACACTCTTCCATCACTGTCTACAGTTAAGATTTTTAATCCATAAACCCATAAAGCCTAAAATTAAAGGACAATTAACTGCTCGTTCATTTGCACCCTCAGTCACCATGGTACTGATGGAAGAGCTCGGGAATCACAGTGCAGACCAATGAGCCTACGGAGACGCTTTAATCCTGTCTCCCTGCCCAAAGTGTTCTGGAGCCTATCACTTGAATTAGCCGAGTCAGGCAGGGAGGGGGCGGGGAGTCCTTCCGCCCTTCTTAGGAGGGGCTGCATTGCAGGGGGAGGCTGAGCAGACTGACTCAGTCACTGAAGAGAGAGGGAGAAGACAAAGCCGTCAAAGCCCCAGTCGCTCTTTTTCTCCAGCCCAGAGCAGACAGCGGAGCCCTGAGGTACTCCCTGCATCTTTGGAACACGCTAGTAATTCACTGGTAACAGGTAATCTAAACTGAGGGAGGGGGGCAGGGGGCTGCAAAGATAGAAGAGGTTGAAGACCCCAAATGAGGGTGAGGTTGTGGTACAGTTCAAGAGGAGAGAAGGCAGCGCTGTGAACAATGGGTAGTTACTTGTTCAGCGTTTCACATCTCTGCTAAAATCTCCATCCATGCCTTACAATCCTTCACACAGACGTTAATTTCTAATAATTTACATGTAGTTATCATTTTTCAGCATTTATCTCCTTTATTTCAGTTATAAATTGGCCTATAATTTATTGTCCTGTGTATTTTATTATCTTCAGTCTTGTTATCTATATCTTCCTTCTCAAGCCGTAATTTGTTCTACCAGTTTTTTTTAACATGTTTTATTGATGATGTTCTAGCAGTTTTTTGATGAATCTGTAGTCCTACTGGGTCATTCTAGCCTCTACTTCCCTATATTTCCATTTTTTTCCTGTCATGTTCCATTGATGTGTCTACCCTCACTCCAAACTTACTTGTCTCTGTAGGAAGGAGTTTAGGGGGAGAGATATTCGATAATATTGAGATTAATCTTGACCTTTCTTTGAACAGTCTCCTCCCATTGTCAAACCTTTGCTCCAAAAAAAGGGGCAGCTTGAGGTATGAAGGTAGGGGCCTCTGTGCTGGAGAACTGCCTGATTCCATTTGAAATCAGTACAGACCACAAGAGCTAGGTATGGGGGCAGATTCTGGAAAAGAAAGGCTTATTTGCAGCTCAGTGTAATAGGTGGGGGAAGGACATGGCTAACAGGAAAATCCAAGCCCAGAATGAGACACATATAATGAGATGCCCGAGAGGTTCTATTCCCCTCCACCACCATCCCTTGTCCTTCCCTCTACGATGGCAGCATGACACAGCAAGGCCCTGTTGGGTAGGCCCAGAATTTCCCACAGAGGGTCTGGACAAAGCGTATTTGGGTGTGTCTGTGTGGCTCAGAGAGAGCCACTTGATACTATGTATTTGCTAATTGTGTCTCTCTAAGAATAGACAATGATATTTATAAATAAATTACCTTTGCCTAAAATATCTGAATAATTTAAAATGAATATAGTGGGAAGCATTTATTGAGCATATATTGTGGCACAAGTCACTGTCCGAGTCCTTTAAGATAAGTAAATGAGAGATATAAAGATAGATGAGGTACGGGTAGAGAATATTTGGGGAAGAGAAAGCTAATTGAAAAGGGACTTTGTGTAAAATTTGGGTACTTGGGAATTAAATCCATACTATATTAAATTTAAAATTTTCACTACTAATGTAAAGGGTATTTTTAGCTTCAATTTTCTGTATAGTCAGCATTCTTAATTTGATATTAAATGCCATATATGCTTGATTGAGAGCCTTTCTGAAATGCATTTGGTATTCGGTACATGTCTTTGAGTTAATATTTTGTAAAATTTCCTTTAGCTTTTTTAATTGCAAGAGAAGTTCTGTCAGATATTCAGAATTGTTTGGGCAGTTTTTATACATAGCTGGATGTAAGAAAAGGAGTCAGTTTGTCAGAGAGATTTTTCCTTTTCTCAATCCCAGCCTGCTCTCTTCTGCCTTTTGCAATTTCACTATTCAGATCAGAATCACAGGAACAGTCAACACCTAACCCACTGAATATCTATTCTTCAGGAACTAAGAATTCTTGCAAATTTTGAAAATATTGGTATAAGATTATATAAAACTGCAGGCAACTATCTATGTACAACACATCAAAAAAGGACCAAACTGGGGCTTAGGAGACACTATCCAAACTAGCTGGATAATTTCTAAGATGTTTTCTAGTTTTAAAATTCTATGATTTTTTTTCTCCCTATGATTCCATTTTTTAAAGAGTCTATTACATGCCCAGCATTTTATTAAGCTCACTCTGGAGGGGACTGGTAAGGGAGGGGATGTAAAAGAAGCCAGCTAGGTAGACAAAAATGGCAATTAGTTTTAAAAAAATCCCTTAAGAAGACGTCAACAACACTGTTGGTTCCTAAGGTTTGCTCCTTAGGATCTCAGTAGTCCCAGACCTAAGCCAGAGTTGTTTGGTTGGTTGATAGGGACATTTTTTTGTAGCTTTCTGTGTACATACCTCTGCAAATTACTGTGGAGATGATCAGGGCTGAAGATCATGGACCGATGACCTCACCTTTCCAACATGCTCCCCCACCCTGTTCCAGTCCCCAAATCACTCTCCTTCTAAGCAGCTTCTCTGCTGAGTCAGTTCCCAGGGTTTATTTTGGAGCCTGAACCTAAGAAGAAAGAAAGCAACTCAGAATCCACTTTTAACATTAAAAACATCCTAGTCTACCCACTCAGCATTCCTAAAGCCCCTACACTCACACGTGACTGTGTTCTAGATTAAAGTCTACTCTTCCTGCCACATTATTTAGGGGCATTTTGGAACCTCTTTAAGGCCACTATTTAGGAGCTTCAAGGCCTGGTGAGAGCCACTGGAGTGTGCTGGAGGACAGCCTTTTGAGATGGGTTCTATTTTTGGAGGTAGTGGAATGTTCTTTCTGCTCCTTCGGGAACATTTCAACTAATGCTTCTTGTCCCTTCTTTTGGCTTGTAAGCAGCTGGATGGAGGCTGCAGGGAGATAGAATAGTCTAACATCAGGGTGTGGGTGGGACGAGAAAAGTTGATAGAAGTATTCATCAAAATATAGAAAAGTACCTAATTCTATTAAAAGACTTTCTTCTTCCAATCTATACTTTCCTTATCTGGAATTTCCAATCCATTTGCTCTATCATCAGGTTATTCTAGCATTGAGATCAGAGGAAAGAGATCCTGCTATAGCACAGGAAACTTCTTTTAGCACCTGGATCTTGTTCTGAAGGAGAGGTAGGCTAGAGGGAAATAGGCTGTTAAGGTTTATTTGTGGGCTTATAAATGGGAGTGGCAAGGTATTCATTGTATTAAATAGTGAGGGAGAATTAATCAGCAGCCTTGAATGTCTTTGGTTTGCAAAGCCTAGCACTTGTGAATAAGGTACAATACAGACTGGTTTTTACTCTTGGGGAAACTCTCAGCCCCTTGAAGAAGATAAGATTATCTCTATACAAAACACATAAGAGTGATCTGTAACCCTAAACTGATACAGTCAGGTAAAATTATACAGGTGTTGGGGGAGATGCTGGAAAAAGTAGGGTTGATGGAGCTGAGTAAGGATGTAAGTAAGGATGTCCTCCTGGAAGAGGGGAGTTTATAGTGGGTTTAGAAAGCAGGGAGGAAAACAGTAAGCAGAAATGTTATAGCAGCCCTTTGCAGCGGTACCATGACCTACTAATCTAAAGGCAGGAAGAAATCAAGTCTTTGAAATATGAGTTCAGGGGAAAGACCCCTCTAAGGACTTGAATGGAGTCTTGAAACTTGGGTACTATTTTAAGATGGAGAGTGGAGAGAGTTAAGCAAGACATGAATGAGCATAGCTGTAGCAGAGGATGTACTACTGCTAGGAAGAATGGAGCCAGATTCTGGAAGCCATAAAACCAGGCCCAAGCAGTAGGCAGTAAATAAGTCATTCCAAGATGAGTAGGAGTTAGCAAATGGTTGAAAGCAGTAATAGAGGAAGAGTTCCTGAATCTTGTCCTAGGGAATTTGGGTTATGTACAGGGGCAAATGGGATATAAAATTTCTCAGTAAGGAAAGGCCATGGGCCACAAAGAGGTGGCTATAGCATGAAGACTGACAAGTGGTTTCTTTTTAGGAAGTTATGAGGGACCCTGTGAGTAGCCAGTACAGCTCCTTTCTTTTCTGGAGGATGCCCATTCCAGAACTGGATCTGTCAGAGCTGGAAGGCCTGGGTCTGTCAGATACATCCACCTACAAGATCGAGGACAGCAGCGTTGGCAAAATGACCGGGCAAGCAACCGGAGCAGAACAGGAGAAAAGCCCTGATGGCGATGCCCTCCTCGAGTACAGCACCTTCAACTTTTGGAGAGCGCCCATTGCCAGCATCCACTCCTTCGAATTGGACTTGCTCTAAGCCCAAGACCTCTCCCGCCACCTTGCCCTCATTGTCTGCCCTTTCAAGCCCCTTACTTTCCACCCTTTTCCCCTATTAATCTTGCTCTCTCCCCTCTATTGTGTTGAGGTGGTGCTGATGAATCTGCCAGAATTGTGGTTGGTTGGTTGGTCGGTTTATTTATTTATTTATTTACTTACTTATTTATTTATTATCTGTCTATCTATCTATCAGTTTCTCTCAAAAGCCTATCTATCTATCTTTCTTTCCTATCGGTTTCTCTCAGAAGCCCTCAAGCCACAAAGTAAAGGGTTCAAGCAATGGAGTATTGGATCACAGGGAGTCCTCCTTTCCCTCCTCCAGATGTTAATTCCAGAAAACAGGCCTGGTGAGGGCACCCCAGAGCGGTATAGTAGTGAAAATGGAGGACTGATTTTTTTACTTCTTTTTGAACAGCTTCAGAGATTGCTCAAACCTTCCTAATTTCTTGCTCCAGGCTTGTGAACAAATATTTCTTCAAGGGTTGGTAAAAACCTTGTAGTTTTTAATTTGAGATTATCTGCTACAAGACTGTGGGATACTGTAGAATTTCTAAAACGCTAAGGTGATAAGACTCATTTTTTTAATTCTACTTCTTGTAATACACTTTTTCTCAGAGAAAGGGGTAGTTCAAGGTATAAAACAAGAGGAAATAATACATCATGGGAAATGACAATAAAGGAAAGCATTGAATCATGTCAGAAATAGGCACCCTCTCTCACAAAGGTGTTCCTTCTTCAAGCCTACTCACTTTACAAATTTTCTTCTGTGGGTTGAAAACTCTAACAGAGGAAAATCACTCGGATTTCAAATATTAAGATGCAGTCTTGCTGACATTATGATAATTTGTAAGGTTTTATTCAGTTTTGAAAAGGCATAGGATTTGGTTGTAGTGTTTTAGTTTTGCCCTCCTGCACTTGCAGTGTAGAATACTAATCAATGGGCCTCAGGCACATTTCCTCAGCTACCTTGAAACCAATGAAATGAACAATCACACTGACCCTACACCTTGTCCCCAGTCCTTCCAAAATTACTGCTGCTGATTTGTGCTGCCATTTAATCACTTCTTTAATAAAGACATTCAATCCCAGACCTGGATTCTAGTTTTCTCTCTTCACAGGGGAGGAGTGTACATTTCAACAATTAGCCTTGCTTTCACTTTCAGCTTATGTATTTTATCTTTCTAATACTCAGTTTTGAGGAAGAAGGATTTGAGTAGCCTTTACACATTAAAATGATGAACTTCAGGTTGAACAGATAAGCAACAGGAAAAACCGGGTGAAATCAACTTAAAATTATTTAAAGTATTTCGGGAGAAAGCTGTAACCAACCACTTGTGCTTGCCCATTGACTACCAACATATTTGAGGTAATAGTTCTAGATGGCAGTAAATCTGCTCTTCATTATCTCAGCCTTGGTGCCTAAGAAAATAAACGAATTAACTAAAGTATGTTATCTGCTTAGTTTATAACTCGCCTCATTAAATTTAAAAAAATTGGATTAATTGACAAATAGTTTATGAAATCCTACTATATGAAAGGCACTGAACCAGACAACTAAGTGGATGTAAACAAGAATGAGACAAGATTTTGACCCTCAAACTTAAAAACGGATGCCATAAATACCAATTTGGCAGTATGCTGTTAAGTCCCCTGAAGAACATGAACAGGATCTAGAGAAGTCCAGAAAAGGGGGAAGCACATTAATCTTCCCCGTAGGTGTTGAAAGGCCCACCATCAGCGACAAAAGCCTAAATCAAAGAATGGAGCAGTAACGTGTCCTTTTCGATTTTTTTTTAAGGTCTTCTCGCTGACCTAAAGAACATGTTCATGTCCTAAAGTTCATGGCGAATGGTGGTGATGGTTATCAACTGGTAAATAAAGTGCCTAAATGAATTTGCAATCTCCTACTCCGTGCTCTTCCAGGCCCCCACAGGGAAATCACTTCCTTGTTTGTTTCACTGCCCGCGCTGACAGCTTGGTTCTGGGGTCCGCACATTCACACTGCAACTAGACGTAGGTCCTTCGGGTACCAGAGCTCAGTTCACACGCAAAGCCAGGAACGTCGCAAATATCTTCACCCGAGGTGGAGACTGGAAAACAAGTTTTCTCATCAACCCTAAGGCTTGCCCCCAAGAAGCAAGCAAAACGGTGCAGGACCTCTGCTGAACCCGATTTCTCCTCAGCAGTCCTCCGGCTTCTTGGCGCCAAAACAAACCTTCGGGTCCGTCCCCTACCGGGACTACACGACACGTAAGACACGTAATCGATGATCCTCCGCCTCGCTAAATAGTCCTGCCTAAAACGTCTGGGAGATACACTATTTCACCTCAGAGGGCCTTCGAAGGGTAGAGATGAGGCTGAGAGGTGTATAACCCTTTTGTTCTAATGGGAATGTGGGTTTTCTAATCATTTTCTCTTCATAGATTCCTCCGCCAGAAATTATATTCGCTGTCTTCGCTTCCGGGTCCGCCATTTTGTTGCCTCCATTTCTCCACGAGGGGGGGTTAAAGGCCCCCAAAATATGCATATATGAAAAGGCCAAAAAGTAACCGTCAGTGACAGGGAGTCTTAACTAGAGAAGGAAAGAGGACCAAACTGGCGGGCTCGGTGAAAGCGCAGTCGGCCGCGTCCCGGACGAGGAGGTGAGGGGGAAGAAGAGACGCGTGGACTCTGGGGGGCATCAGGGCTGGAAGGGAGACTGCGGTGAGAAGTTGCACCTCTTCCCCAGCCCAGCCCCGGACTTCTGGGTGCAGATGGAGCGGCGCCCCTTCATCCGAGCCGGGGCAGCTGGGGGAAGGGGACGAAGAGGAAGGGGATGCTGCCGGGAGGAAGGGGAGGGGACTGGAAGGAGGTGAAGAAGGGGGTGGGTGTAAGACCTGGGGCTCGGGAGCTGGACCGCGGGAAGCCGAGGCCGCAGAGGTGACCACGAGGGGGCAGCGCGGAGCCCGGGCCGGTGGCCGCCCGCTAGGCTGAGATCTGGGCTCCCCGCCCTAAATTGACTTCGTCTAGAAAGACCGAACGTCGCTGTGAGGGACTGGAGGATTTGTGATAGAGCAGAAAGCGAGGACCCTAATTCTCTGACCCCAGCAATAGCCTAAAGATTATTAGTGAGCTCAGTAATCTGAGCAAGAGCCGTTAGGGCCCCGCCTCCAGTTCTTGCACTGTTGTTTGTACAGCTGGCGGCCCAGTGGGGACGTGTGCAATAGAAAAAGAAATAAAAAGGTCGTCAGATCATGGATTCTTCGATTCCGTTTCTCCTTTCCGTTAGCTTTCTCCAATTGTCACAGATTTCCTTGAGACAGCACACACCATCCCATTCCTCCCCCCTTTCCCAGAGGGACTTTCCCCTCTCATCTCTCTTTTTAAAACGTGTTTGGAAAAGAACATTCTATGACTGACCTTCAACAATTTAACATTTTTGGCCATCTGGGACCATATTTTCATCGTACCATTTGACCCACCCGTAGTACAATAGAGATGTTCTTAAGCATCTGTGTTCATTCACGCTTTGGTAACAATGATTGAACAGCTCCACCCAAATTCTTACATCAACAAAGGAAATTACTCTCTGATAGAGTACTTTGTTGTTAAGAGCTCAAGCATTTCATCAATTATTAAAACACACTTACTGAAAATTCTTGTATGTTGGTATGGGAGGGGAAATGGGTGCTCCTGTTATTCATCTCCAAAATCCTAGGAGGCAAGTTAGATCAGATTTTGTTTCTGAACTTTGTATATAGGAAAAGTGGAGGTACATCCAGTAAGAGAGAATGTTTTCCTTTTGTTTTTAGTAATCAAGGAGATAAGAAGGGCCTAGACTGTCTCATTCTTAAGCTACATTTCTTATCTGGTAGGTACTGCCAGTACGGGATGTGGATAGTATGTGGGAGAATGGCACATCGTCTCCCTAAAATGCTGTTGTTTTAAAAATACATTTTACTTTAGATAGATGCTTCAGGTTAAATTGAAAGAAAAGAGTAACTGAGAATAGGGAGAGAAAAGAACCTTGAGGAACACATTCTAAGAGACTTTTTAAATGTCAGGTGATTAATATAACAGATTATTTACATTCTAATCCCAAAGTTTAGCTACAGTATCTTTGTATAGTAAAAACTAAGCCTCTTGATGGCCTGTATAAACAATGGAGATGAAACATTTGAGTCCGTTGCCATTTAGAGGTACTGATACACATACTCACAAATATGGTTAAAGAAAAGTGGTAAAATTAACATAAATATGAAGGCAGACTACAGTGAAAAAAATTGATGGCTCAAAAATATTTTGCAGGAGTTCAGGTGCTGAAGACACCAGTTGCAATGGGATAAAATCAATCTAAAGGATCTTGTTTTCCAGAAGTTGTCAGCTTCCCGCGAATGTGAAGCAAACCAGGTTTTTCCTTAAGCAGATACCTCAGCCTGCCACTGAGTATCTTTTGTGGTAGAGAATAGAGCTGAAAGTTAGGTTAATTTACTCCTGCTTCGTGCCAGCCATTTATGAACATCCCTGTGTAGGGCATTCTTTCTCTTTGTGATCAGTTATCGTAGAGGTGTTTAAGCCTTCATGATAACCTTTTGTATATAGTATAATCTGAGAAAATGTGAAGGAGTCATTTCTGCTAATGAGTCACCTAAAATTTTGTTCTTGTTATTAATAAGATAACTAAATTGAAAGGAAGTTTTGATATTTTAAGAGAATGATAACCATGGAGAAATGCAAAGTAGCAGTTTTCTGTAAGAAGGTTATGCTTTCATTTTTTTACTCTAGCATTTTCTTAAGTTGTAAAAACTGACACTTAGAACAGGTTATAAACTTTCACACTATTAGAATTCATCCTCTGCTCCAATCAGAGGACCTGGACTAGAGCCTCAGGTATATATGCATTTTGAACAAACTCCCCTGGTGGTCTCTTGGATTCCCACGTTTGAACACAGTGTTCTATAATGTAGATTGGAATGTTAAATCACATAGTGGCTAAATGATTTGCCTAACCCAATGATTCTCAAGTTTTTTGGTTTCAGGACTGATTAATATTCTTAAAAATTATTGAGGACTCCAATGTGTTATATCTATTGATATTTACTGTTTTAGAAATTAATTTTCAAATGTTAATTAGAATATAATAATGAATCCATTACATGTTAACATAAATAGCACAATTTTATGAAAAATAGATATCTTCCAAGTTAAAGAAATAGAAAAAAGAAAAAAAGAATAACAACAACAACAAAAAAACCCACAAGCAAGAAAAAAATAGAAGAATGAGATTGTTTTATATTTTTGCAAATCTCTTCAATTTCTGGCTTAATAATTTTCACATCTATTTCTGCATTCAATCTGTTGCAATATGTACTTGGAGAAAGGACTAGTTTTTAAATAGCTTGTTCAGGTAATTGTGAATATTCTTTGATGTTACACAGAAACTGGACAAGTGGCAATTTCTTAAAAGTGAGTTGCAGTGAAGAATCTGAAACCATGTCCGTGAATTTTTATATTCCATTACTTTAAAACCCATTGATCTGCTTTCATTTTGAATCAGTCTTTTTACCTGTGCATGATTTTGTAACATGCGTTGGTTATTTGAAAAATATTGGTTCATCCAAAAAAAGAAAAATATTGATTCAGCAAATAATGCAGATCATCCAAATATTGATGCATTTTATTATACAGTATAAAAAATCGCATTCATTAGTATCACCACTAATTTTATCAGAAAAGTTGTAATAAGCTGTTAACTCTTGGTGGTGAATAATAGGTTCCCCAAAATTACTGTTTTTTGCTTCAAAGCTGAAATTAAAATTGATAATTGGCAGTAAATACTGCTGTTTGTCTTCTTGAAGTCGCAGACTCTCTTTGTTCATTTTGAAAAAATGTCTGCCGTGTACCTGAGTCTCACTCTCCTTGGTTTGTCTATTCATTCTTTCGTGTAACATACTATTTCTACCCATGGTTGTTTCAGAGGGATAAAGTGCTGTTTTATTTTTTCCTGAAGCTAGAAAGGTGGTAATGTGTTTCACATATTTCCAAAGTATTTCTCTGGAGATTGAAAGCGAGGGATCCGTGGTTTGGGGCCTGAAGCTTTCCCCAGTATCT